CTATGGTCTATAAAGGTTAGGTTAGGTTAGGTTAGGGTGTATTAAGAATGCTGCACCTTTGAGCAATACTTGTTACAATAAATAAGGGCCGACATTGCTGGTGTTGTAACAAGTTCTCTTTATAAAAAAAACAATAATAATTTGTAGGGGTCTGAACTACAAAAATGTCTCCGTATTAACAAAAAACAGCAAGTAACCTCCCGCTGTTCTAACGTACCAAGCATTTATAGTTATCAATAGACTGCAGTACTGCACTTTGCCGTTGTAATCTAATTTAACCTAACTTAAAAACCTAACCTAAATTAACATCCTCCTTCCAAATAGCGTTAGGGTGGTTAATCTTTAGGTGAAATATGCTGGGGTGGAGATTTTTCAGGTGATCCGAAGTAGTTAACGTTACTTCTAAGCGTTACAGTAGTGGTGGTTAAAGTTAAGTTTGGTTAGGTTAGGGTACCAAGCTCGATATGCCACTACTGGCTATCCGTTAGGTACACAACAAATCTAAATTACTCTGTTGTTCTTTTGTACTGTACAACTGCCCCTAATGAAGCCATCCTAATGTGATGCTATATGTCGGCCTAGTTACTTACCCGCTAGATGGTAGAAACAGTTCAAGACCAAGATACTTATATAATGGTAGTCAAGCCAGTATCCCCTGAACTTATGATAGGATGCCTTACCTTTTTCACGTTAAGGGCCTTGAGAAATAAGTCCTGAAAGGTGAATGCAATTAGTGGAACTGCCAGTCAGATATAAGTAGTTGTCAAGTGCCCCTTGAACTTGAACACCCCGCCCCCGCACACACCCCCAAAAACAACATACTTGCGACACGCTCGCACGTGATGTATGGCGCTTTGACTAAATAATCATATATGTATATATATATATATATATATATATATATATATATATATATATATATATATATATATATATATATATATATATATATATATATATATATATATATATATATATATATATATATATACATATATATATATATATATATATATATATATATATATATATATATATATATATATATATATATATATATATATATTATATATACTTCATAACAACAGGTACTGCCTATTGTTATGAGGTACTGTATAAAACAAAGGTTACGACATAGCCTGACGCAGCAGCCTGGCTACTTCATTTAATTCATGAAAAACGTAGATGTTCCTTTCTTATATATTTAATTTACTATATTTTTCGAATGCCTTCCCATTTACATTTGTAGTACAGTACAGTACTTAGTTTGATACAGGATCTTTCGAAGACGATGTACTCAAGAGGTAATTTTCTAGTTTGTGTAAATGCCTGTATCTGTGACATTACTTATGAACGAGGCAATATTTTTTTTAGAAACCAAGATAAAAAATGCTAATCCAAAGGTAATTTGACGTAATCTATTTAAAAAAATTATATATATATATATATATATATATATATATATATATATATATATATATATATATATATATATATATATATATATATGCTATTAGTGCTACTTTTTTTATTTAACGTTTGAGCTATAGTCAAGTCTGGTAAGTCATCAGAAATTGAAATCTGCACATTAATAATTACGCTTTTATTGGTACCAGAAACTATATAAAACAAGTAGTTACTTTATAAACCGGGATAATTTAGGTTACTGAGATGAGTGGTGGGGACTGACTCTTTTGGCAAACGTTAGCCTATCTGGCAAAATTTCAAATGTCATATGACAATGAAGGCGGTCAATGATGAGTAAACTATGTTAGCCATTCAGTTATTTAAATACTGTTATGTATTTACTATTAATCATGATCATATTAACTAACGGCAGCTGATGATGTGCAGTATGGTATATTATCATTGCATCGATACGGTATATACAATAGTTACTAAACAGAGTTTGATCGGTGTTATGAATATGGTAACCCTAGTCTAGTGACAGCATTGATGGCGCGCGCGCACGCACACAACGGCCCTGAAACAATAGACATTGTTTCCGTACAAACCTTTAAGGTCACGAAAAGGATTCCATAAGGAAAACAATTTTGTTATCGATCTAGACAAACATAACCCACACCCACTATTTTTCTGACATCCCACTTGTCCTTAGGAATTTGACTTGTAAGTGGTGATTTGGCAACTGTAGCACGTTGTATTTGTGCTGCATCTTAAACACAGGAGATAATCACTGTAAACAATGTCATGGTGCTGGACACTCACTCGTTTACTGGTGCACGTCCAAGGCCCCTTGTGCCATACAACTACAGACGCGGGAAAATTGACAAGAAAAAATAATAGCATTTTTGGATTTGTGCGTACGTGTATTCTTCCTGAATCTGGCGTATCTGCGTCCTGGGCATGTGTACGTGCAAGTTTTGTTGAGTACGTTCTGCACGTGCGTACTTCCGTACAGGCGTGCCTGTGCAGACTTTTCGCTGCGTCAGCACTGCGTGATATCTCGTAAACAAGTCAGTCCATCTTAAACGATGAAAACAAGGGCGGGAATTAAAGTTTATTTCCTGGGGCAATACTCTCCCAGACCTACATGGAGGAAATGGTGCAAAGACAACTCCAGACACAAACATTAACGCATTTGGACTGTGGAATGTTCACTAAAATTGCTACCAGAGCCTTTGGAGGATCTTTCTTACAGCAGAGCCTTCAGTCAATAATACCTGATCTGTGGTGTTCATCGATGATTTTAACGCAACAGTAAGTAGTACGCAAGATGTCCAATCCTGTCTTGGCCATTTCATTTCACAAACAAATAGGATTTAGTAGACCCAATTCCCGGCCAACATAGAAACCATCCTATGTTATGATGATCCGTTGGTCCAATGGTTAGGTAAATGCTTGTTGGCCGAAATAAACCGTCGGAATATAGAGCCTTAACCACCGCCAAGACTGGTAGGTAACCCAATGAGACAAACAACTGTTCTCTAACCCGAGTCTAGGGAAAGGAGATTTAAATAGCCCCCAAAATATGGAAGAAAACATTAATTATTATCGACCCAATCCAAGATCAAGCGGCCACAATCCCCCCAACAATAGCAATGTCAATAGTGATTACCGAACTTGTCCAAGAAATTTGGGTAGTTAGCATTGTGAAACAGTTCAAGGCCCCAGCTAAAATTGTTCTCCAAATTATATGTTCACAATTCAGACGCACAGACACACGCACGGAGGGAAAGCATTTGTATGCCCCCTTTCTCTACGTGGCGAAGAAAATTTCCAGAAAAGAAAATGAATTATGATCTCGATTCAGGAGCAACACGTCACCATCAGTATTATGTAGCGGCCTGGGGTACAGGTGATGGTTAACGCAGTTACAGCTTTAGATATAATAACATTCCAAAAGGTAATAAATAGTGTCTTAAGACAATGCCTGAACTTATATACAACAATGAAAAATCCTAAACCTAGGAACCATTAAGCATACTATCGCTAAGTTACACCGTATCACCACGTAATGGTGATAATTATACCTTGATTTATCCATAACTGCCCTAGAATCCAACAGACTAAGTGATACTTTCACCTGGCAAAAAAAGTCTCATAAAAAAATGGGTAATGGTTACGGAACAAAGTTATCTGAACACTCGAATGTTTTATTGCCTCTCCTCGCCGGCATGTCAACATATCTCATTGAATGGCAGTTATGCAGTTTTATTCCACAAATTGTACAATAATGTAGTAGAATAAACATCGAGTTCAAGTCCGTACCTACCCAGGATTGGGTTAACAGTCCACGAAGTGTGAAGGTGAGTGTATATCATCATCTGATGTTGCTGGAGGTGAAGTTGTACCTCGGATTACTAACAGATTATAATCTACCACTTAGTGTGAAAATGATACGATGATATCACTTTGCTTCAGAAATTGTCCATTAATAATAGTCAGCATAACTTAGTGTGATCATGAAGTGGTACGCGCAACACTTATAGATGGACAAGTGTGTACTGTATATATATATATATATATATATATATATATATATATATATATATATATATATATATATATATATATATATATATATATATATATATATATATATATATATATATATATATATGAAATCACATTAATGACATTAATCAGTAAAGTGGTGAGCACGACATTTTGGGGGCGTGAGTGTATTTAATTCTTTGTAGTTATGCCAAGAATTAAATCTCATATTACGAACAAACTATTCTACCACTCTTTGAAAATAATATGGCGACTGTTATATTTCACACTTTATATGACAAGAGTATTAAGATAATATAGCAGAGTACAGTAGGTAGTAGGCAGCTATCAAACAGGGAGGTACTACCACTTGGGGATATATTGGAAGCATAATGTGTTGTTTAATGGTAGACCCTGCTGCTATATGGCATCACAAAAAATATTACCAAGTCCCAGGTTGCTGATCTGACTTTCTGCCTCATTTACACACAATTGCAGGGTCTCAATTGTTTCTCTTACTTTGACAACACAACATAAATATATAATTTCTCATTATTATTATTATTATTATTATTATTATTATTATTATTATTATTATTATTATTATTATTATTATTATTATTATTATTATTATTATTATTATTATTATTATTATTATTATTATTATTTTATTGTTATTTTAATTGCGTATTTTTTTATTATAAATTGTATTTACTATAAATTATTATTATTATTATTATTACATTTTCGCCCCCCAGGCCCCGATGTGGGTCAGTGACCTGTACCCGGGTGGGCTAATCCCTGTTAAAAAAAAAAAGTAAGCGGCATGTTAGGGGAGAGTGTGTATTTAACTTGGGTGAAACGGAGATTACGAACACATCTGAGATCCACCACTTGGTCAAACTGGGCTGGTTCATTCTCTGCGTGACGAAGCAAGATTAACGCTCTCAAAATACTCGTTATATGTGTATTTTATGGCCTCGGGGTACATGGGAAGACGCGTGGGGCGGCTGTAGACCTTGAGTTGTGGGTGTATATACAGGCGGAGGCTGGAGTTCTCCGTCAGACAGCTCCCTTCTGCCGGGTGGGTCGTACATAATACAGCAAATATGAACGCTCTAGTAAGTATATATGCCTCGTTCCAGGCTTGTAAGGATTTGTATCCTAACATTTCCTCGACCAGGGAGTGTGAGAACGTAATGAACTGTCTTAGTTAAACGACACAAAGATTGCCTTCTAAGGGTTCCGACGTTTATTTTATTCAGGGGTGGTAATGCAAGAACGCATCTATCTAATAAATTAGGCTCCAAAACAAAGACGAATTATCAAATATTTCTTTGTATTTTCTTTGACTCGTACTTTGATAACGTATTTAAAATTGTTTAGTGCCACAAAGAAAAATTTAAAAGGTTCCTATTTAAAAAAAAAATACATTTGTAATGTACTGTAAAGACAAATAGCGGTTGCTCACTCAAGCTTCGTAGCAAAGCTAAATTATCAAAGATAATGTAGCACTAAGCTGAACCTAACTGGTTAGAAAATATTTAACTGTCTCGACGAAGAGAAGAGCAATGAGGCTTGTGCTCTCTTCCACTGGGAGTATACTCGGCTCCGTTGTCTACGAACTCATGGCGACAAAAAAAATCCGACTTGCTTCAGGTCATACATGATGACAACAGAAGAGTACCTTTTATCGTTTCTTACTTGTACGTCACAAAATCACCTTGATTAGTTGGGTTAAGTTAGTTACTAGAGAATATTGAAAACTTACATTACCCAGTTATTCTTAAATGTATATTATGCCGCAGTTGTCAGGAGGAACTGATGAAATCGGTTATCTCAAATACGCAAGACATCGAGTTCAAACACTTACCTCGATAATCTAACTGACAAAAACACAACACCAGAAACTTACCTTTGAGTAATTAGTGTATGAGTAATTCCTCAGTTTCTCTAAGGAATTCGTGAAGTCATTCCCCCAAACCTAAAATACAGCAAAATATTAGGTTAGTGTAAGTCCCCCGTGGTAGTCATGACACCAACAACGAAATACCTTATATTTGCATCTCAGCAAGTCAACAGCAGTTTATTTGATAGAAATGTTGGTAAATTTGCTTTTAATTGACCCACTCCACTATGACAACAAAATTATGTTTTTCCGATGTTTTTTTATAAGTTTCGAACATTTCCGTCGGAAATCACCCCTCCCCAAAACGAGTGATTTCCGACTGATATGAAGGTCACAATCGTTCGAAAATCCTCATAAACCATCGGAAAAATATAATTTTGTTATCCTAATATAGCTATCTTAAGATGTCCGGGGACTAGCCTTGCCGAACCTAACCTAACCTTTGTTTCCGACGAAAATGTCATAGAAGATAAGTGTTTTAAAATTCTCTAAACTACATGATAGGTGCATTTAAAAAAAAATGTGGGAAAATTAAAAGCAATATTACCCAAATGTTTATTACAGAACATGAACAAAAACATTCTCTTTACTGATCTGAAAGTTCTCATATCTGGAGGATTGTACGCTAATTAATGTTTATTTACTGTGACGATTTTTTCTTGGTGTTTAATTGTTAAAAAAAAAAATCAAGAACGACATCATTTGTCTAATCCCCAAAGATTTGAAGCATGTACAGGTATATTGTCAAGCAAAAAATTAGCAACCTATTCCTGGGTTGCTGCGAGGATCTTTTATGATTTTTTTAAAGTTTCATTTTTTGCAGAAAAATAGGAGGTTCTACATTTGGTATTTTTAATGATTTTCAAGAGAGTTTGTTTGTCTCCCCCTCAGCGTGTGATGCTGGGTGTGTTGGCGGTGGTGGGTGTGTGTGTTGGTAAGCCTAGCATACTGAGCCACCATGTTGCCCTCCCCCACAACCTCCACCACGACAACATCGGTGTCCATAGGGTGCCTGTGGCTGCTGTCGCCCACCCTACTGCTGTTCACTACGTCCCTGCTACAACCATTACTCACCACGCTCCTGCTGTCGCTGCTGTGGCTCATCATGCCCCTGCTGTTACTGCTGTCACTCACCATGGTCCTGCTGTGGCTCCTCACGCCCCTACTTTCTCTGCTGTAACTCATCACGCCCCTGCTGTCACCCACCACGCCCCTGCTGTTGTTCACGCTTCCTTAGCTCCAGTGAACACCTACTCAGCACCTGTAGCCCCCGCCACGTCCCAGTACCACGCACAGGACGAGTATGGCCGCTACTCCTTTGGGTACAACGCTGGCAACTCTGCCCGTGATGAAAGCCGTGACATCTACGGTAACGTGCGTGGCTCCTACAGCTACGTCGACGGCAATGGCAACTTACAGACACAACACTACGTCGCTGACGACTACGGCTTCCGTGTGGCTGGCAACAACCTGCCCGTCCAGCACTCCGATGATCACCCTTACCGTGGCAAGCGTTCGTATGCTACCTTCCCCGCCTCCACTGGCCCCCTGAGAACTGTAGTCCACGCCACCCCTGCTGTGCACGCTGCCCCAGCCGTCCACGCCCCTGCTCTGGGCTACTCCAGTGGTCTGTACGGCTATGGTGTCCCACGCGGAGGTTTCTCCTACGGGTACCACAGCGTGCCATCTGTCGCCTCCTACAGGAGCTATGCCGTTCCAGCTTACGGTGGTCACTACTAAAGTCCCAAAATCTTCTGCTGGCTTACGACGTTCATTACCAAGACTCCTTGCCATTAAAACAGCGTTAGCACGAGCAAACAACGACGCTTGGCATTCTATTTCCACAGTGACAAGCGAACGTTCGCTCGTCTGCTTGTATCACCGATGCTTGTTTTAAGGTATGAGCTTAACCCACTACTCTCTCGTCCTGAGCTTTGGGTATTCCCCAATAAGGCATCGGGGGGTCAGACTGGCCTCGACCTAAACCTAAGCATAATTCTCGTCATTTGGAGATCCGTTGTCCCCTGGGGGACAAGTTCTATAGTTGACGTTAAACTTGAACTCAACAAAGCGTTTAATATTGTAATTCTGGAAAGTATTTTGAGCAAATATATAATTTTTCTATGATTCTTCTTTCACTGAATCCTTGAGCTACACATAATTTTATCTGAACATAACTGACCATATAAATTAAACATTTATGGGGTATTTAGAACAACTAGATATTTTTGGTATGTACTATTCTTTTTGAAGGGTATAAGAGAGTTTAGGTGATACAAACTAAGCATTCAATGCTGTGAAGGTTCTTGAATAGACAAACAAATCTTCGACAAATGTTAAGTTTAAGGACGGTTGGATTCCTTAAGATTCCGTAAACAAAATTATAAAAATCAAGGCTTTTTGGAAGGCCGACAATGTCTACAATAAACCACATTTTGTTTTACGGTTTGCCTAACAGACAATTGACACCAACCCAACCTGATCTAACCTAACATCTAAACCCGAACCCAAGGTGATCAACCAACTAGTATCTCCTCACCACCACCCAACTCGTGTAGGTCATCGACAGTCTCTAAAAATATGGCAAAGCCAACGATCATGAGAACTGTTTACTGTACGAAAAAACACTCGTTTGTAAACATAAACACACCTAATCTTAAATATGCTCTCTTGTTTCTGAATCCACCTCACAATCGTCACAATTCTATAATCATACCCCTTACCCTCCTTTCTTCTGGCCGAATTTCACAACCACCACGACAGTCCCAGGATAACGCCAACATTCTAGGGTCAACGTTTACCCAAAGTTCAATTCTTTTTGGTCCTGGTAACAAAGTCCTCCAGCACCTCTGGCAAATCCCATTCTCCATACAAATTTTTTTTATACTAGCCTAGTGTTCTGCGAGACTACTGTGTATGACCAATTCTCCAAAATTGATCCCTCTTCTACCATCACCTATAGCCTCACATTTCTCACCTCATCATCCCCAAACTTATGTTATAGATAGACAACTTAAACACCCTGAAAGACCGCAGCAAAAATGGGATAGTAACAACACCTGGATATACAGGTTGGTGTCATGGTACCGCGTTTTTTACTCAGTTACACGTTCACCGCTTGTTCAACTTTCCCCCTGCTAAGGACAAGCGCCTAAACTTATTTACTTCCATTACTATATACACTGTAGAACGGTGTTAGAGTGGCAGTTTTTCATTTGCCAACAGGTTTTTATCCTCTCACTTACGGTAACCTAACCTAGCTTTGCGCAATATTTACCAACGCGTAAAGCCCGAGGCTACATATGTGGTCATAACAGTAACGTTATCATTACAGCCAAACAGGAAAGTTTGTGAGTAACTTCAGAAATAAACCAAATCCGTGACCCTCTCCTACCAACCTTCCTGCCTGGTGTAAGATTTTGCTGAAAGTCGAGGATTTGGGGAATAAAAACTTTCTATTAACAAATAATATAATTCTTTTTTACCTTTTTACTATAACAGGGTAAAATTATGGCCAGATGTCCCCCTAATGCGGGAGTTTCTATGTTAACAAGGCAAAAACCTCATTAAAAAAGCCATTCAGGAGAGGAGCAAAGTGCACTGATGCCGATTTCACAGTAGGCTGTCCACCGAATCTCCTTCCTCTTAAAATCTGTCATCATGCTGCTGCCATTGTATCATTGCTGCTTATTTTATAACTTGACCTAACTATCACCTTTAAGCTAAAATTCCGGACACAGTTTGATTGTCTCAAATTCTATTATCGTATCCCCGTTTTACATATTACTAAGTATTTTAACCTACGCAGGACTATTATTATTCCAGATTGTGTTCAGCCTTACGTCCTTTCATAATTATGGGTCGTACTGTTTGGTCATCCTTCCTCTGTGATACTTGTACACTACATACACGTCACTGTTGTACGTCAGTACGTCACTATTGAACACCCACTAAAAAATTATTCGGCACCCGTGTCATATTTTATCACGCCGTAAGGGTGCCGAATATTTTTTTAGTGGTTGTACACACTGCTTTACAAATATTGCTGTACACTTTAATAGTACACATGCACACGAATGTCTTACCACTGTTTTACAGTGGTAAGCACATTTCTCCATTATACGCACACACATCGTTACTGTATACATATTTTGTTATACATTGTTTTTGTTTTTCCACTGTACTCTGCCCGGAGTACCTGCCTAGCCGAGTACCCCACTAAAGTGTATAAAATGGCTATCTCAGTTGTGCATTTTTCTCCGTCAGATTTGCTCCGTGTCCTCAATTAACGGACTATTACACGCACCACGTATTTGTCCATCTCCAAACTCAAACCATAACAACAAACATGGCGGAACCGGAACTCTTATGGACTACAGGCTACTCAGTAGGGAAAGCTGCAGCAGAAGCGTTTTCCTCGTTTTGGTCCAAGAAAAAGAGCAATAGAGGAAACAACTTGGTATTTTTCCTGAATAACACCCAAGTCACGTACAATACTAATGACCCTACCACTGACCTTATGCAATTCTAAGCAACTTTTCTTCTATAATTATAGACAACGAGTAATTTCCGACGATGATTATAATCATCGTCGGAAATTACTCGTTGTCAAAATATTGATTTTTTAAAGCAATTATTTTGGAAGGCGACTGAGTAGGTCGTAGGTAGTTGGCAGCTACCAAACAGGGAGGTACTACCGCCTGGGAAGATATTGGAAGCATAATGTGTTGTCTATGGTAGACCCTGCTGCCGCATGGCATCACGAAAATTGTGACCAAGTCCCAGGTTGCTGATCTGACTTTCTGCCTCATTTACACACAATTGCAGGGTCTCAATTGTTTCTCTTACTATTGACAACACAACATACATATATTGTTTCTCACTCTTGATTTTTTTCATTTTGTATTTCTTTATGGTTCTTTATTATTATTATTATTATTATTATTATTATTATTATTATTATTATTATTATTATTATTATTATTATTATTATTATTATCATTGCAACATTTTCGCCCCCTAGGCCCCGACGTGGGTCAGTGACCTGTGCCTGGGGGGGCTAATCCCCGTATAAAAAAAAAATAAAAAAGTGCGACAGCTAGCTCCTAACCCTGCCCCTGAAGATGAACACGATCCTCAACCTCAGCCCGGGCCTTCATCAGAGTAAACGGTAGGCAGAACAATGGTTAGTTTATGTTAGTGGGAGACATAACTCAGAAACAGGTGATTTCCAACAGAAAAGGGTGTTAGAATCAAATGAATCACACTAAAATCCTTAGGAAAAATACAATTTTAAGCTTCAAGGGGAAAATTACAAGACCAGTGTATTTAATAAGCTATAGTACAGGAGCAGGTCTAGATCACGAGATGCTGACAGTGGATGTGGCTCGACAGCACCAATTCTACGAATTACTGGCAATGACGATATTGTTGGGTTAATAAAAAATAATTTCAGTATTTTTATATTTTACTGTTATATATGTAGCATTAACCCACACCTGGAACATTACCAATTTAACATAAACATCATAAACATAACATAATCCTTGTAACAGGCAACGCAAACTACTCCTACCATGCTTACCTAATTTGGTGAAAACCACCAAGTCCTCTAATCATAAAGATTAATTATAAATTTTCACAGGTAAACCAATAACTCGTAATATTGTTAAGAGAACTTACGGTGAGTCAGTAGATAAGACTGAAGTATTATGTTTCTGGTTAGATTCTGAAGAATATGTGTATAGCTACCTCCCAGTCACAGTACTTCACAACACAACACGTCGAAACTCTGACTGGCGGTCACTGACCCACTGGGCACGCCACTGTGGGGCGTCTGAGGTCGTGGGCCTGACAGTACTACTGAGGCTGCTTGAGGTGTTGTTAGCAGAAACCAGTGTTCCCAAATCAAATTTTCCCAGTTCGCTAAAATCTACCAGAAAACTAGCAAAAAATCCGCTAAACCAGTTCTAAGAATCTGCCACATTTACCGTTAAATTTTGTAGGAGCCGTGATTATGTAATTTTAATAATAATATTGTTCTATGTAAAAATTATGTATGTAGTGCATTACCATCGTATGAAAACATGTGATATGTATTGTCTGGCTAAAAGTTTATAATCTGCTGGCTCTTAAAACAACCGTTCCTGCTTTGAAATACGTGTATTAATATAAAAACATACGAAATTAGGATAACTGTAGTAGGCCATATAGGCCTATTTTCATAACTAAAAAATAATTGCATATACAGGCCTATTTTATAACTCATAAATTATTGAGCATACGTGCCTGCTATCATAACTCAGACATAATAATAATGACCAACTATATACTGTACAATATACAAAACTATATACTATATACTGACACATCAACTATACATGACGGAAGAATTAAATTTAACAAGCACGCTCTTCTCAGCTTCAAAACTCTCACAACATTTATTATCAACTTCCACTGCGAACAGAATGTGAGGGAGGTTTTCCAGAGTAGTCGGACTCATACAATTTCGCAGATCATTCATTAGAATATTTACCTGGCTGAACACACGTTCTATCCTTGCATTAGAAACAGGAAGCGAAAGAAAGCTTAAAACACACTGAGAATTCTTTGACGAGTTCATTACCAGCAGAATCCTTTTTAAAACGAACTTAAAATAGGATAACTCCTCTGGAAAATACCTAAAATCACCAAACCCACAAAATCCCTAATTTTCCAGCTAAACCCGAATACAAACAGCCAAATTTAACGGGAACCGCCAAATATGTGAACATTGAAAAACATAAACACTCCTCAGCAAACATCTTTCACTCTCGATAAATGCACCAATCAGAACTGACCCTTACCCCTTAGCTAAATTTTCATTAATAATAAAGGTAGGTAGCTGAAGAACGGACAGCCAATCATAAACGATCAGTTTTCAAGAACAAGGATTTCATTGGTTGCGTATGTACAGTAAATTCAGATATCTCGATAACTATTTTCACTTCCTAGCCCCCATTAGTCCCTGTTCACCTAGCAGTACAGTAGGTACCTGTTGTAAATCGAAAGTTGCGAATTCGTATTCAAGGAGTTGTTGGAGCTTCCAATAACTTGATGACATAAACCACTGACTCTTCAGGCTTCTACGCCCTTAATTCATGAGACATAAGGGCAAGCATGAACTTAGCATGCTTCCCTGTTGGGCGCTGTAAACACTTCTGCGCTTCACCTTACACAAGGATGTAGGGGAGTGCCCAACAAAAAATAAATAAAATAAAATAACTATTTTCAGATGAACAAGATGCCTGAGTGAAGAACGAGCGAGCATTATAAGTAGAATATACCATGTAAACAACAAACAATTCAATTGATTTTATGAATATCTAATAATTATATTAGAGCCAATAACAATAATTATAAAGAGGTTTATGGCAATGACAATAATTAATTCCATCTTTATCCACATTTTAAATACATCCACTAAAATTGAGTATAACGATAAGAAAAACGACAACACTAATAATATACATAAGACCTTTTCATTATCTTATTCCAAATTCAAAATTATATCCATTTCAAAGTCAAGTTCAAGCCATTACAAGACTTACACAATGTTAGTTACGTGATTAAAGAAAGAATCATTAGCAGAATTTCGTCCTCAGTTGTACAGTACCTTCTGCTAGGCTACTGATATGCTTCTAATCACAACTTGAATGATGAACAGGTGAATGAGGCCTAAAATTAGTTAAAAAAAAAGATATTCAGTCACGTTGTCTTCACGTGTACCTGAATTTGTTCTTATAGCTGAAATTTTACTTGTAATTGATTTTGTAGGTTTACTGTAAGTGTATCATCAGTATTTATACCTGTACTTGTGCTGTACTTTAACCTGTAATTATACTCATACCTGTAACTGTATTTGTATCTTCCTGTAGTGTACTTGTGCTGTAATTGAACCTGTACCAGTAATTTTTTTTTTTTTTTACGGGAATTAGCCCACCCAGGCACAGATCAATGACCCACATCGGTCCTTGGGGGAAAAATGTGATAATAATAATAATAATAATAATAATAATAATAATAATAATAATAATAATAATAATAATAATCATAATAATAATAATAATAATAATAATAATAATAATAATAATAATAATAATAATAATAATAATAATAATAATTATAATAATAATAATAATAATAATAATAATAATAAAGAACCACAAAGAAATACAAAACAAATAAAAAGTGAGGAACAATATATGTATGTTGTGTTGTCAATAGTAAGAGAAACAATTGAGACCCTGCAATTGTGTGTAAATGAGGCAGAAAGTCAGATCAGCAACCTGGGACTTGGTCACAATTTTCGTGATGCCATGCGGCAGCAGGGTCTACCATAGACAACACATTATGCTTCCAATATCTTCCCAGGTGGTAGTACCTCCCTGTTTGGTAGCTGCCTAATACCTACTACCTATATTTGTGCTGTAATTGAACCTGTACCTGTTCGTTTGCTGTAATTTAACCTGTAACTTTACTTTAACTTAGACTTATACTCACACCTGTAACAGTACTGTACTTCCATCTGTAAACGTACTTGTATCTTACACCATACATCTGTAACTGCTCACACCTGTACCTGTAACCTACAACTAACTGCACCGACCTGTAACTATACCTGTCACCTGTAATTTTATCGACTTGTAACTGCACCTGTAACCTGCTGAAGTTCCTGTATTCTTGAAATGAAATACAGAATGTAGAGGGGAGAGGTGGCTGTCATGTTCAAGGGTACAGAGGTAGAGGTGTGTGTGTGTGTGTGTGTGTATTAGTGCATGGGGGAGGGAGGGGTTGAGAGACAGACACAAGATCTCACGAATCTCTCTAGTGGTTTAGATATTTCAGGGTGAAACAGTCTCTCTCTCTCTCTAGGTTTTATAATTTTGTAGTAGCATCATATCGACACACACACACACACACACACACACACACACAAGCAGAAAGAGACAAACAGAAAAGAACAAATAGATAGATAGAAGGGGGAAGCAGCCAGGCACAAAGAAAGATAGAGAGAGAGAGAGAGAGAGAGAGAGAGAGAGAGAGAGATTGGAAGGTAAAATAGACCACTATGAATTTGGCTGCTCCCGGGAGTGATTATCTATAATGTGTGTGTGTGTGTGCGCGCGCGCGTTAGGAAGGGGTGGGGGGGGGGGTTGTGGCCTTAACGTGCATGACGCCTGACAATCAAAACTCACTGCTAATGGCACCTCCCTACAGGTACAGATACAGGTATTATGAGATACAGGTATAATGAGATACAGGTGTAATGAGACACAAGTATAATGAGACACAAGTATAATGAGACAGGTATAATGAGAGATACAGGTATGATGAGGCACAAGTATAATGAGAGATACAGGTATAATGAGACACTAGTATAATGAGACACAAGTATAATGATATAGGTATAATGAGAGATACAGGTATAATGAGACACAAGTATAATGAGATAGGTATACTGAGAGATATAGGTATATGGAGACATAAGTATAATGAGATACAGGTATAATGAGACACAAGTATAATGAGACAGGTATAATGAGAGATACAGGTATAATGAGGCACAAGTAGAATGAGAGATACAGGTATAATGAGACACTAGTATAATGAGACACAAGTATAATGATATAGGTATAATGAGAGATACAGGTATAATGAGACACAAGTATAATGAGATAGGTATAATGAGAGATATAAGTATATGGAGACACAAGTATAATGAGATACAGGTATAATGAGACACAAGTATAATGAGACAGATATAATGAGACACAAGTATAATGAGATTCAGGTATAATGAGAAATACAAGTATAATGAGAGATACAGGTATAAGGAAACAAGCATAATGAGAGATATAGGTATAATGAGACATGTATAATGAGACAGGTATAATGAGATACAAGTATAATGAGAGATACAGGTATAAGGAGACACAAATATAATGAGAGATACGGGTATAATGAGATACAAGTATAATGGGAGATGCTGGTATAATGAGAGATACAACTATTTTGAGACAGGTATAATGAGATACAAGTATAATGAGACAGGTATGAGAGATACAAGTATAATGAGAGATACAGGTATAAGGAGACACAAGCATAATGAGAGACACAAGTATAATGAGAGATACAACTATAATGAGACAGGTATAATGAGAGATTCAAATATAATGAGATACAAGTATAATGAGAGATACAGGTATAAGGAGACACAAGTATAATGAGAGATACAGGTATAATGAGAAATACAACTATAATGAGAAATACAACTATAATGAGACAGGTGTAATGAGAGATTCAAATATAATGAGATACAAGTATAATGAGAGATACAGGTATAATGAGATACAACTATAATGAGACAGGTAAAATGAGAGATACAGGTATAATGAGACAGGTATAATGAGAGATACAGGTAAGGAGAAATGTTATAAGTCCCCAATTAAGGTTTACAGACAGGTACAAGATAAACTACAGGTACATATACAGGTACAAGATACGTGGCAGACATTGATCTTGTGTTCGGCTGGTCGTACAAGATCGCCACTGGAGGCAAAAGACGGGCGAATGTTAGCCTGGCGTAGCTTTTATGCACTGTACGTGTCTTTGTGCGGGTGAGAGGGAAAGGCTGAATCCACCTACTCGCATCCAATCCCACTCACTCACACCCTATCCCACCCACTCACTCACACCCTACCCCATCCATTCACACCCTATCCCACTCACTCACACCCTGCCCTACCCACTCACTCACACCCTACCCTGCCCACTCACTCACACCTTACCCTACCCACCCACTCACACCCACTCAAATCACATCCTACCCTACCCACTCACACCCACGCCCATCTCATACACCGAGTGACGTCATAATAACCTGGAAAATTTTTGCAGGTGAACACTGATAAATTTCACGTATAATTGATTCTTAGAGGCAGACGAGAGACTGAGTTGTGAAAGGGCTCGTGTGTGTGTGTGTGTGTGTGTGTGTGTGTGTGTGTGCGTACTCTAGCAGGATATACAACTAATCATATGTCCAATACGAAACACCTTTACGACTCAGCACACCTGTCCTTAATTAAAAAAAATCTCATTCCTCCCTAATTTTCCCATTCACTTCCTTCTATCATCATCACTCTCAGTCTCCCTCATTCCTCTCTCATCTTCTAGCACAATCACACTCAATCTCCCTCATCCCTCCTCCTGCCCCCCCTCCCCAACACACTTCCCAGCATTACGGATAATAACTCTCTAACGTACAGACAGACACACACCACCTACTTCAACGCACTCTTTAAGGTAAGCAGTTTGAAGGCTACGAGAGTGTTTTGTCATGGGGACCTGACGCACTCCAACAATCACGTCATCCAGGTGTAATCAACATGGCGCTACGGTCTGCTTGGTCTATTTTACTCTGATATGCAGTTTTTTAGCCCCCAGGCTCCGTTATCTGGAGGGAGTTCAGGGCCTTGAGTTCCTGGTGGGGTATATACAGTATATATACGAGAGAGCGGCTCCTCCGCCGTCAGACAGCTCCCTTCTTCTGGGTGGGTCACATCGAGTCTACCACACACCAGCAGACATGAATTCGATCGTGAGTATCCGTGTGTGTGTGTGCTTATCAACCGATATCCACTTTGCTGTCACGTGCTGTAGGTGTACAGCACGCCTGGAAGTACAGATGTGGGTGTACACAAGTCGTGAAGGGAGTGCATACATGTACTCTAAGCTGGACATGTGGACGTAGATCGGAAGATAAACACGTGTACATTACGTGTCGTGAAGGCAGTGTACGTATGAGATTAAGCCTGAGGATTTATACACAAAGCTGAAGATACACATATGTGTGTACATGTGCTGTAAACATAGACTGTGCACATAAGCTTGAAAATACACATATGGTTGTACACGTGGTGAACATAGTACAGTACGTGTACATAAGCCTGGATATATGCACAAGGTTGTACATGTGATGTGAACATGTTATATGTACTTAAAGATACACACACATGGGTGTATTATGAACGTAATATTTGTACACAAGGTTGAAGGTACGCATACAAGTGGACTATGTGCACATAACACTGAAGATACACATACTGTATGTGCGCACATGTTTCGTGAACGACCCTGAACGTGTGTTGTGAACGGATTATATATACAGATATATCACATACTGTACGTATGACGGAGTAGCTTAGTGTGGGTAGGGTGGGTGTAGCCTCGGCAGGTTACAAGGCTCCCACAGAACGGACACAAACTCTACTGGACAAAAATTCACTTGACCAAGATTCTCTGGGCGCTGAAACCTTATAATGTTTGCTGAGGTTAGGTTTAAGTTAGTTTAGGCTAGGTTAGATAAGGTTAAAATTAGGTTAGATCAAGTTAGGTTACGTAGTTGTTACAGTAATTTCTTTGTATTACAGTTAAACATAAATATATTTCTTAACCCCATAATAGATACACACAAGACGGCGTAGCCTAAAAGGGACTCTACACTGACTAAGTAACCAGGGCTACATTCAAGCCAAACTTACTCAGTACACCGTGTAATGAGAAAAAGATGAATATCTAGGGTTTTGGGCTATCAAAGTTGTGCATATTTCTTCCGGTCAGATTTGCTCCGTCTCCTTAATTAACAGAGTATTACACGCACCTTGTATATGTCCATCTCCAACCTCAAACTATAACAACAAACATGGTGGAATTCTTACGGACTCAATAAGGAAAGCTACAGCAGCAGTTTTTTCCTCGTTGTGGTAAAAAAAAAAAAAAAAAAAAAAGAGTACAAACAAGAAACAACTTTCATGGAAGAGAATAACACCGTGAAGCGACTCACCATGTGGTTGGGGAAGTTTGTTTTACTTTATCCTCTTGTTGGTCTGTTAGCCGCTTGGGCAATCAGTCACATCACCGTTACACACTGTTGGCAAGTATACTGTAGTGGGCATGTACTAGCTCCAGTGTTGGTGAAGTCTGGTCTTGAATGAGCTCACACTCACCGTCATCACAAAGCTCTCTGGCAGACTGTTCCAAACTTTCAATCACAACTCTCACTCCAAAACATTTTGCCCGGACAATTTGGTATGTAAGTAAACACGAGTCAAATGACAGTTTATTAATCTTCAGTTAAATAGTTTTGTAATTAAATCGTTAATACTCAGCATAGTCCTTATTGTTTACCAGTTATAGCAGGTTAAAGACGAAAGTTATCAAACATTGTATTTAAAATCAGAGTTGGTAAAGAATTTCATAAGACCCCGGTCATAGGTCCAGCGTAGCTGAAGGAAATCCAAATGTACCTGAGTTGTCCAGCCCTCAGAAAACCAGCTGGAGAACGGCGAACATGAGCACCGCTTAACTGTGCTGTCTCGATGGATTTAATGCCTAAAAGTTCAAGAGTTGTAAGTTATAGGTGGATAATGAGACGTAAAGTCGGTAGTGGTGGTAAGCTGGGAACATAAACAAATAGCCAGATAGACATGTACAGCAACACTAGACAATATACATATATATATATATATATATATATATATATATATATATATATATATATATATATATATATGCAAATAACCACTGGACTGACTCTACCCTACTCTCGTGTATATACACATCTTTGATTTAGCTAGTCTGTACTCACCCTGAAGATGTGAATTACACGAAAGCGCTTGAGAACTTGTGTTTCTTCTTTTCTTGTGGTTATCAGCATATATATATATATATATATATATATATATATATATATATATATATATATATATATATATATATATATATATATATATATATATATATATATATATACAAGGTTTGGCAGAAAGACATAAAATAAGACACTGGTTGGTTTACTGATCTTTTATTCTTTCTACCCGCAGCGTGTGTTGTGTGTGTTGTGGGCGCTGGTGGGGGCGGTGACCAGTGACGGCACCCACCATGGGGACACAAGCTCCTCCTCCACCATCTTCAGGGATTCTGTGGTCAGGTCCAACGGCGCCCCCGTCATCGGCAAGGGCGTCTTCCACCACCATACTGCTCAAGCGGTTCATGGTGCTTCAGTGGCCCATGGTGGGTCAGCAATCCATGGTGGGTCAGCTGTTCATGGTGCTTCAGGGGTCCATGGTGGGTCAGCATTACATGGTGGGTCAGCTGTTCATGGTGCTTCAGTGGTCCATGGTGGGTCAGCAATCCATGGTGGGTCAGCTGTTCAAGGTGCTTCAGGGGTCCATGGTGGGTCAGCAATCCATGGTGGGTCAGCTGTTCATGGTGCTTCAGGGGTCCATGGTGGGTCAGCAATCCATGGTGGGTCCGCTGTTCATGGTGCTTCAGGGGTCCATGGTGGGTCAGCATTCCATGGTGGGTCAGCTGTTCATGGTGCTTCAGTGGTCCATGGTGGGTCAGCAATTCATGGTGGGTCAGCTGTTCAAGGTGCTTCAGGGGTCCATGGTGGGTCGTCATTCAATGGTGGGTCAGGTAGTTTCAGCGCCCCGGTCGTCCGCAAGACTACTGTAGTTCATGGGGGTCCAGTCCTCCATGCCCCGGTGGTTCATAGACCGGTCGTTTCTGCTCCGGTGGTTCGTACTCGGGTAGTTGCTCCTGCTGTGGTCCATGCCCCCGTCGCCCCTGTGGCAGTGGGTTATGCTCCCTATGGCCTGGTGGCCCCTGATCCAGTGATCCACCAAGCTGCAATGTCTGGCTCATACGGTCGCCCTCAGTACGCCCCGGTTCTGTCACAGTACCACGCACAGGACGAGTATGGCCGCTACTCCTTCGGGTACAACGCTGGCAACTCTGCCCGTGATGAGAGTCGCGACGTCAACGGCCACGTGCGTGGCTCCTTCAGCTACATCGATGACTACGGAAACATCCAGACACAACACTACGTCGCTGACGACTACGGCTTCCGTGTGGCTGGCAACAACCTGCCCGTCCAGCACTCCGATGATCACCCTTACCGTGGCAAGCGTTCTTATACTAACTTCCCCGCCTCCACTAGCCCCCTGATCAGCGGTAGCTCCCACGGCGCACCGGCCACCACCGTAACCCACGTCGTGAACGGCCCCGTCGTCGTCCGTGAGTCCGGTCCCTACGGAGGTGCTTACGTTCAAGATAACTCCCGCTATGGCGTATACTCTACCTACAGCGGCCCCCATGGCGGCTACACAGGAATCTCTCCTCTTCTCGGCAACTCCGACTTGCACGGTGACTTCGACCGACTTGGCCTCCACGGGTTCTCCTACGGATTCAACACTGGTCCACACTCCCTCACCACTTACGGAACCCACTTTGAGCAACAGAACCAACTGAGCCCCTACAGATACTAAACCCAGGACTGCTCACGTCGTCAGCATGATTAGCGTCGCGCTGGTCCTCTGGATAACCTCTGGGTGTCTCCAGAGGTCACGGCTGGACATACAGACTGTTTGACTGTTCATACGACGGCCAGAGAAAGGGATGTCTGTCTGGAATCTGATTCTCACATCATCATACATTAAAACTTTCATTCTAAATGGTGACGTAAGAACAACATACTGTACTAGTCGGTTGAGCTGAGTCATTTAAAAAAGAAAGAGTCAGAGATTTTGGCAAATTTCTTACCGATATATCACCGTAACTCGCTGTGTTCTCTCGTCACCAGTTAAGATAGTGTAAGACTCTTTAAGACTCTGGAATAAGCGGGAACTCACTAACTAGGACGATGATTTACCTGTCCATCCTCTTCCTCCACCTAGATCGTCCCTCTGTTTCCTCCTCCTCTTCCTCCTCTTGGGTCGTCCCTCTGCTTCCTCCTCCACCTAGGTCGTCCCTCTGCCTCCTTCACCTAGGTCGTCCCTCTGCGTCCCCCTCTTCCACCTAGGTCGTCCCTTTGCCCCCTCCTCCACCTGGTTCGTCCCCCTGCCTCCTCCTCCTCTTCCTTGTCACCTTCATTCTCTGTTTCTCTGTGTCTTTACTGTGTTTATTCACCTCCTTTCATCCCACAGTTTATCAGATGTTTACACATTTCTCTTTAAATTTATTTCCTTCTGAATTTACATAATTTTGTATACACTTTATAAATATTTGATGCTCTTATGATCTTAGGATTTGTTTTTATAATTTACTTCATATATTTTTGCTGGTCTTAGCAAGCTGAGAATTTTCAAATGATTTTATAATAAAAGAAAAAATATTTAGAATTTAGATTATTTTCTATTTTTATATATAAATTTCATCTTAAACAATTGATGTTTTTTATGTCGAAAAATTTTCCTAAAATTTGTCAAGCAAGGCCCATAAAAATATATTACATTAACCATACAATATTATCACACTGACCCTTAAATATTTTCCTTTGGGGCCATGGCGTCACAGCTTTAGGGCCATGACGTCACAGCTTTAAGGCTATGACGTCAGAGCTTTAAGGTCATGTCGTCAGAGCCTTAGAGCCATGACGTCAGAGATTTAAGGCCACAACATCAGAGCTTTAGCTGCCACAACTTAAAGACTACAGCTTTCCACCTCCTAGTTAGTGAGTTTTAGGTGCTGTGAAGAGCAAAACTTAATATTTTATAAACATTATTTTTTTACAGCTTTCAAAATCATGTTTCTGAACTCCAAATTGGTTTCCTGTGCGAATAAATGAGAAGATATTAAAGGTATTAAATGGGTTTTATTATTCACTGTAATAGTCTAAGCCTTTATGAGGAAAGAATTTTACCCGTGAAAAGATAAGATTCATTCTGAAATTCTACAAGAGCTTGAAAGTGGTTAAAATACAAAAAATATTTATACTACTACTACTACTACTTTTTTATGGCCTCCAGCCTACCCCAATAGCCACGCCTTTGCTACCATTTCATTACCTAAATATTAAATATCCTAATACAAAAGTAGCTATCCTAACTGTGTTGAGTTAGTTGAGCGGCAGATCTATGTGGTATTCAGTGACTGTTGCCTCATAGTCAATATCTGCGACCGTTGTCGGCTTTGGGGCCGATGCTCTCGTTCCCCTGAGGCAGAGCAATGCAGAGAGAAGGACAGTCGACATCTCAACCAAGCTGCAATATAACTTCTGGGCAGCTGCTTCCGTTCGGATAACACCTCCGCGTGTCTGGCATAGAAGCATCTTGCACCGTTGCATCCAAGCCTGAAGGGCCAGCACCTCCCGGAGTTTTCAGTGCTTTTTTCCACACCATCCCTCCCGTTATTTTCTCGAACAGGACAGCATTAGAAAGGATATAGTCACCCTGGAACCTGATGCTTTCCTCCTCACTTGCAGGGGGATGTTTTTCCTTCAGTTGTTTTAATGTCTCTCTGTTTATTGGCAGAACACCACCGGAGGATTCCTCTGCGAGAGATCTGACCGCCAAAGACACTTTTCCCACACGCATCTTCTTACCAAACTTTCTGGCAACGTCATCGGTGTATTGCTTTCCGTCTCCTGTAAATTTTAGTCTCTCCTGCAGTGTTCTTGCTTCACATAGGAGATCATCAAGGGTCCCATTCTGCCCCATTGTCAATCTTCTCTTCATTGCTGCCACATTTTCTTTGTGCTTTTACAACATCTACTACTACTACGACTACTACTTTCTTAACGTGGACTCCAGCCTCCCCTAATAGCCACACCTTCGCCGCCATTTTATTACCTTAAAATTAACTATCCTAATACGTAAGTAGCTACCCTGGCTGTGTTGAGATAGTTGAGCCGCAGATCAATGCGGCATTCAGTGACTGTTGCCTCAAAGTCAATATCTGCGACTGTTGTCGGCTTTGGGGCCGATGCTCTCGTTCCCCTGAGGCAAAGCAATGCAGACCTAAGCAGAGAGAAGGACAGTCGACATCTCAACCAGGCTGTAATATAACTTCTGGGCTGCTGCTTTCGTTCAGATATCACCTCCGCGAGTCTGGCGTAGAAGCATCTTGCACTTGGTCCCATCCCGCCAGAGGTTGTGAACACCAGAGGAGTGAAGCTGCCTTGATCAAAATTCAGAATTCTCTCCCCATATGCCCTAATCTTGTCGTTCCCGTTCCTCCTGTGTGCAGCATCGAGAGCTAGGTTGCGGTGACATGCGGCCATGGGATCAAAAATCTTATGTCAAAAAAGGCTTGCTGTCCCCGCGTCCAGAATCGTCGACTACTGACGTCCACACAGGCTTCGTTGGATGTGTTTGAAGTCCTGTGACGGAGGTTCTCACCGTCCAATGGAAGGAGGGGCGGTTCCACCATTTTGTCGTAGCAGATTTCCCTCAGTAGATTTGCTGTTAGATCCCTTACTTCGTCATGCCGCATGCATACGAAGCCCCCTTTCTTGCACACCATGGAGTGGTCGATGTCATAAGATGAGCCGGACACTCATTGGAAGGGCAAACCTTCTACTGGCCTACCGTACCTTAGAGCACTACTACTACTACTACGACTACTACTACTATTATTACTACTGCCATTACTACTACTACTATTATTTTTTATTTATTTTATGTATTTATTTTTTTTAAATGGCCTCCAGCCTCCCCCACCGTTTTATTACTACTACTGCCTTTACTACTACAACTACTACTACTAACAATAATGATAATAATAACAATAATAGTAACATTTCTTTTACTATTATTACTACTACTACAAAATAATAACACTAATATTACTACTACAACATAAAATAATAATGACAATTTTTCAATTAAAAAAATCAATATTCAGAAATTAAAACAATGAAGCATAAGAACGGACAACAGTTGCACAGAGGTCAATATATCCTTAACCTCTAAGTTACTTAATAAATAAAGGACCTAATGATATGAATTAACTACAAGAACAACGGATGGTCTTGTCTTATTAATAGGTGCGCTAATTACCCGGGTCTTGAAACACCATCTAATAAGTGTCAGTTTTGGGTGCTAAGACAACGCAAGATTCTTCAAATACGACGTTGGTGGCGAGGATAAAAAAAACGAAAAAAACGAAACAGAAACCTTGAGCTTTGAGGGAACACCCAAATCCATTCCTTTGTTTCTGCTTCTTTAACCTTGACTTCCACGTCACTGGCAACAGGCACCATCATGCACCCCGAGGACTGAGTTACATATGAGGTTGAGCAGCATGGTAACCAGGTCTCCCAGGGTGGCTCTGCCTGCGTGCTGGGGGTCAGGGCACTGTAGGAGGTGACCGTTGTAGAGAGGGTGAGACGCCAGCCCTCGACGGTACAGTGCCTCACACTCACTGATCCCCGCCAGGTTGAGCGGCACACCAGTGTCCCACCACCACACTCCACCACCTGTCTCTCTGGGGTCCAGATGGTCTCTGATGCTCCTGGTAGTTTGTGGTCTCACAGTGTTGGGTGCTGGACCCTGGGGGACGGGGGAGTGTTGCTGGAGAGACCCAGTGATGGGTGTTGGAGAGGTGTAGGAGACGTGGGGCGGGCTGGGAGAAAGGTGGTGGTTTCCATACTGACGGAGATAATACATCAACAACATCTCGCTCCAGTCACTGGACGCGTCACCGAAAGCGGTTCTCATATTGAACAGCACCCAGCCAGCGTGCGTCCTGAACCGACTTTGGGATAGAAATAACACCCGGCTTCTCTGTGAGATCTGAAAGCATTAAGAACAGTTCTGACGAAGAGCAGGAAAAGTAAGTGGTTTTTGGTGACATGAAATTCACTGACCAAGAACCTTCAGACTAGCTTTACGAAAATTAGGCAATGTTGATAAAATTCCCATTTGTGTTAGTGTTGTCCAGTGTGACCCAACTGTACATCACTGGTTCTTCAGGTACTTCGGCTTCCTTCTGTACTGACTGACGCTAAACCCATGGAATGTGGCCCCCCACCAAGGATACAGATGATTACCTGGATGTATATTTGTAAAAGTCTTGATCTAGAGTGAACCTAATTTACCTACTAAGAAAAAAATAAAGTCAACCTAAACAAAGAACAAAGGAGAGGGAGAAAGATAGGGATGCGTAGACAATAAATACGAAATGAAACCAGTACTGACCTGATGCAGGAGAGGGGCGACCTGCTCGTGCAACTGTCTGAGGTAACTGAGCACGTCGTGGGGATAGTAATACAACATCCTCTGCATCATCCACGACGTGTACCCTGGAGGAGACAACCACGGTGGGAACCTCTTAACAGAATAAAAAATACTGAAGAAGATGCAGCGAATATAGTTATTATAGTGTGCATCCCCTTCACCCAACACGTGAGGATTCTCTATATGTTAAAGTTCGGATATGAAAAGTTAGCTTGATGAAGGTGATCCTTAACCCCACAGACTCACAATAAACCAAAACACGCCGTGATGTGTTGGTTTGTCAGGTCAAGCTTACACATAAACAAAAAATGTGAGTAAGATAAAACTTCAGAGATCTAGTAGAACCATTAACGTCAATACACCAAATATTCAAACCCTCAGCAGAGTCACAACACAGTCACCATCAGAGTTGTCTTATTTAAAAGAGCATCGTCACCTCACCAAAAACACACAACACACAACTAACTCACCCAAACACGACCTACAACTCACACCAAGCAAGACCTACAACTCACACCACACACGACCCACAACAAACCCGCACACGACCCACAACTCACACCACACACGACCTACAACTCACACCCCACACAACCTACACACCACGACCTACTCACCACACGACCTACAACTCACACACACGATACAACTCACACCACACACGACCACAACTCACCACGCGACCTACTCATCACACACGACCTACAACTCACACCACACACGACCTACAACTCACACCACACACGACCTACAACCACACACCACACACGACCTACAACTCACACCACACACGACCCTACACCACACACGATCTACAACTCACAAAACACGACCAGCAACTCACACTACACGACCTACAACTCACTACACGACCCTCTCACCACACGACCTACAACTCACCACCACACGATCTACTCACACTACACACGACCCACAACTCACACTACCGACCTACAACTCACACCACACACGACCCACAACTCACTCACGACCACAACCCACCACCACCTACAACCTCACACCACACACGACCTACAACTCACACCACAACCACAACTCACCACACGACCTAACTCACCACGACCTACAACTCACACTACACGACCCCAACTCACACTACACGACCACCTCTCACACACACACGACCCACAACTCACACCACACAACCTACAACTCCCACACACGACCTACAACTCACACCACACACGATACCAACTCACCACACACGACAACTCACACCACACGACCTACAACTCACACACACACGACCTACAACTCACACCACACGAACCACAACTCACACCACACGAAATACAAACTCACACCACACACGACCACACAACTCACCCAAAACTCACCACCACACGACCTACAACTCACACCACACACCTACAACTCACCACCGACCTACAACTCACCACACACGACCTACAATCAACACCACCACCACCACAATCACACCACGACCTACAACTCACCACAAAAACCTACAACTCACACCACACGATCTACAACTCACACTACACAACCTACAACTCACAACACACGACCTACATCTCACCACACCACAACTCACACCACACACGACCCACAACTCACACGACCCACAACTCACACCACACACGACACTCCCCACCGACCTACAACTCACACACCACACGACCCATAACTCACACCACACACGACCCTCTACGACCCACTCACACACACGACCACATCTCACACCACACACGACCTACTCATACCACACGACCCACAACTCACACCACACGACATAAAACTCACACCACACACGACCACTCACACCAACCTCTCACACCACACGACCATAACTCACCACGACCACAACTCACCACACACGAAATACCAACTCACCGACCAACAACTCACACCACACACGACCTACAACTCACACCACACGACCCACAACTCACACCACACACGCACAACTCACACCACGACCTACAACTCACACCACACGACCTACTCACACTACAAAGACCCACAACTCACACACACACAACCTACAACTCACACCACGACCCTCACCACAAATAAGACTCACACCACACACAAACCACAACTCACCACCACACGACCTACAACTCACACCACACACGACCCACAACTCACACACACACGACCTACAACTCACACACACACGACCCACAACTCACACTACACACGACCCACAACTCACACACACAACCCACAACTCACACCACACACACGACCCTCTCACCACACACACATAAACTCACAACACCCACCAACTCACCACAGACCCGACTCACCAACCTCTCACACCACACGACCCACAACTCACCACACACGACCTAAAACTCACCACCGACCTACAACACACCACACACGACCTACAATCCACACACCACACACGACCTACAACTCACAAAAACCTACTCACACCACACACACTCTACAACTCACACTACCCAACCTCAACTCACAACACGACCTACATCTCACACCACACGACCACAACTCACACGACCCAACTCACACACCACACACGACCCATAACTCACACCACACACGACCCACAACCCACACACGAAATACAACTCACACCACACGACCAACAACTCACACACCACACACGACCCACAACCACACCACACACGACCACAACTCACACCACACGCGACCTACAACTCACACCACACACGACCTACAACCACACCACACGACCCACAACTCACACTACAAGACCCACAACTCACACTACACAACCTACACACCACACACGACCCACAACTCACACCACACGACCTAAGACTCACACCCACAACAAAACCTACAACCTACAAAAACACCGACCTACAACTCACACCACACATGACCCACAACTCACACCACATACGACCCACAACTCACACTCACACACGACCCACAACTCACACCACACACGACCCACAACCACACTCACACACAACCTACAACTCACACCACACACACCCACAACTCACACCACACACGACATAAACCACACAACACACGACTCAAACTCACACAAGACCCACAACTCACACCACACAACCTACAACTCACACCACACGACCCACAACTCACACCACACACACCTAAGACTACACCACACAATCTACAACTACACCACACACGACCCACAACCCACCACACACGACCTAAGACTCACACCACACAAGACCCACAACTCACACTACACACAACCTACAACCCACACCACACACGACCCACAACTCACACCACAACGACCTAAGACTCACACCACACAAAACCTACAACTTACAACACACGACCCACAACTCACACCACACATGACCTACAACTCAC